GTCGGGGCGCCGGCAGACAGGACAGATCCGTGCTGGGGTTTGCTGGCGGGGTGTCGGGGCGCCGGCAGACAGGACAGATCCGTGCTGGGGTTTGCTGGCGGGGTGTCGGGGCGCTGGCAGACAGGGCAGATCCGTACTGGGGTTTGCCAAGTGGCATGAAAGAAAACGGGGCGGGAAGAGGGATGGTGGGAGTCGCAGATCTGAATCGGCTGGTCGGGGAGGCCTCGCAAAGGTGATGCCGTATGTGAACAGAGTCCTGGAGGAAGTGAGGGGGCAAGGCATGGAGGTGGAAGAACGATGGTGACAGTGGTTAGCCCGTAAGCTGTTGTATGCATTTTACTTGGGAGGAAGGTTCTACTAGGGAGGAACATTCCATGTAGAAGGAACAGCAGGTGCAAAGGCCCTGAGGCAACTGTGTAGCAGAGCAGTCCCACCCCTTGTGCTTAGCTGCCCACTTGTCTGGCCTGACCGGCCACCTGTGCTGTGTCTCCTCCCTACCGCCTGCAGCTGAATAAATCTGCTGTCTTGCGCAAGGCCATCGACTACATCCGCTTCCTTCAGCAGGGCAACCAGAGACTCAAGCAGGAGAACCTGAATCTGCGCACCGCTGCCCACAAAAGCAGTGAGTCCTGGCTCCCCTCCACGCCTGCTCACCCTGCGAGGGCCCTTCACCCTCTCTTCAGCCTTCCCGTGGCCCTCAGCTCCGACTTGGGGCGAGGTGGGGTGTGTAGCCCTCACCCCAGCCCAGCTCCTCTCTGGCCCACAGAATCTCTGAAAGACCTGGTGTCAGCCTGCAGCAGTGGAGGCCACACAGACGTGCCCATGGAGGGCGAGAAGCCAGAGGTGGTGGACACCCTGAGCCCGCCACCCTCGGACGCTGGCTCACCCTTCCAGAGCAGCCCACTGTCCCTTGGCAGCAGGGGCAGTAGCAGTGGTGGCAGTGGCAGTGACTCAGAGCCTGACAGCCCAGTCTTTGAGGACAGCCAGGTTGGGTCGCACGTCGTCGCCCCCTCCCTGTCATCCAGCGACATCCTCTGAGTTCCGGGACTGGGGCGTGTCCTACCTCCCGTTTTAGAGACGGGGAGCTGGGCGGGGGTCCCGCAGTAAGGCTGGGGGCAGAGCTGATCCCTCCTCCTCTGAGCTGAGCTCTCTGGGCTGTGCTCACCCCGTTCTCACCGCCCCGCCCACCCCGCCAGGTGAAGCCAGAGCAGCTGCCGCCCCCCCACAGCCGGGGCATGCTGGACCGCTCCCGCCTGGCCCTGTGTGTGCTTGTCTTCCTCTGTGTCTCCTGCAACCCCTTGGCCTCCCTGCTGGGCAGCCGGGGTCCCGCTGGCCCCTCCGATGCCACCAGTGTCTACCACGGTCCTGGGCGCAGCATGCTGGGTGCTGAGGGCAGAGGTAGGACAGGCCAGCCTGGGCAGTGCGAGGGGGGACTCTTGGGGACGTAGATCCCGGGCCTGTGGGCTTGGGGCTCTGGACTTCCTGGATGGCATGTCCCCAGCCTCTGTCTGCCCCCAGACGGCCTTGGCTGGGCCCCGTGGCTGCTGCCCCCACTGGTCTGGCTGATGAACGGGCTGCTGGTGCTGTCCTCCTTGGCGCTGCTCTTTGTCTACGGAGAGCCGGTCACGCGGCCCCACTCGGGCCCCGCCGTGCACTTCTGGAGGCATCGCAAGCAGGCTGACCTGGACCTGGCCCGGGTAAGCGGCCGGACGCCGGGGGTGTGGAGGGTGGGCAGGGCTGGGACCCTCAGCAGCACCTGGGAAGGTGCCAGGCACACCGTGAATCTCCCCTGTTCTCTCCACTCCTGTCTACCCTTCAGACCCCCACGGAGCCCCGGCACTGCTGGGGTTGGTGGGGTCGTGGCGGGGAGCCCAAGATGGAGGGCTCTCTGGGGCTAGAGGGGTGGCACGTGCTGGGGATGCTCTGACCCCACCTTTCTCACCTGGAAAACCTTCCTCCGCAGGGGGACTTTGCCCAGGCTGCCCAGCAGCTGTGGCTGGCCCTGCGGGCCCTGGGCCGACCCCTGCCCACCTCCCACCTGGACCTGGCCTGCAGCCTGCTCTGGAGCCTTATCCGCCACCTGCTGCAGCATCTCTGGGTGGGCCGCTGGCTGGCAGGCCGGGCAGGGGGCCTGCGGAGGGATGGTGCCCTGCAGGTGGACGCCCGCACCAGTGCCCGCGATGCGGCCCTCGTCTACCACAAGCTGCACCAGCTGCACACCATGGGTATGGCGGGCGAGGGCTGGGCCTGAGGGCGTCCCGCCACCTCTGCGCCATGCCCAGCCTCATGCCCTCCCATTTTCCAGGGAAGTACTCGGGCGGGCACCTGGCTGCCGCCAACCTGGCACTGAGTGCCCTGAACCTGGCCGAGTGCGCGGGGGAGGCCATGTCCGTGGCCACGCTGGCTGAGATCTATGTGGCCACCGCGCTCAGGGTCAAGACCAGTCTCCCCCGGGCCTTGCATTTTCTGACAGTGAGTAGGTGGTGGGCTTGGTGGGGGACGGGGCTCAGGTCTCCCTGGGCTGAGGGCTGCCTGGGAGAGGCAGCTGGTTATGGGGTGGGCTCCAGGCCCTCTGGGGTCTCAGCCCAGGGTCTGGTATGACAGCCTGCCCCTCTCGCCCACAGCGCTTCTTCCTGAGTAGCGCCCGCCAGGCCTCCCTGGCACAGAGCGGCTCAGTGCCTCTTGCCATGCAGTGGCTCTGCCACCCTGTGGGCCACCGTTTCTTCGTGGATGGTGACTGGGCCGTGTGCAGCGCTCCGCGGCACAGCCTGTACAGCGTGGCCGGGGACCCAGGTGCCTTCTCACCCTGCGCCTGTCCCCTGTCCCCTGCCTCTCTGCTGTCCCTGCCCACCCTGGTCTGTTGCCCCACCATCCATTGTCGCCACGGGGGCTGCAGGAACAGGGAGGCCAGGCTGGCTCTGTCTCAGTTGGGGCTCTTCAGAGGCCAACAGGAAGAGGGATTTGGGGGCAGGTGGTTGATTCGGGAGGTGCTCCCAGGCAACAGCGCTGTGCTGTGAGGAGGTCAGGAAGGGCGTGTGCCCAAGCTAGGTTATCCTGTCCACGGGGTGGGGGAGGCAGACTATTTATCCCCCAGCTTTCATCTGTCTCAGAGCCAGGCCCCCCCGTGCCCAGGGAAGAGTCCTAGGTGCAGGGAAGTGCCTGTGCACGGGGAGGTGGGGCCCTTCCCCCCCGCCCCACTCACCCACTCCTCCCCACAGTGGACCCCCTGGCCCACGTGACTCAGCTATTCCGTGAACATCTCTTGGAGCGAGCACTGCATTGCCTGGCCCAGCCCAGCCCCGGCCCCGGATCAGCCGATGGGGACAGGTGAGTGTCCCTCTGCGCCTCAGCGGGCCAGGTCCCCCACCCCCGGCCAGTGGAGCTTGGGAAAGGCTACGTCCAGGGACCCGTGTCGGTGGCCAGAGCTGGGTCACCGTGGCCTCAGTTTCCCCACCAGCCCGGCATGGGCCGGCCGCGCTTTAAGGAGCCAGGAAGCCAGGCTGTGCCGTGGGGGCAGGTGAGGAGGGCCGTCCGCTTCAGGACCCCTGCCACCTGTCCCGACGGCCAGTCCTCTCCTGCCACAGGGAATTCTCCGATGCCCTCGGGTACCTGCAGCTGCTGAACAGCTGTTCTGACGTGGCCGGGGCTCCTGCCTGCAGCTTTTCCATCGGCTCCGGCATGGCTGCCACCGCCGGTGAGCCCCCAGGCCTCCCCGCCCCGTGACGCCCTCGGGCTCAGCGCCACAGCAGCTCGGCCTTGGGTGCGGTGTGGCCGAGTTTCAGGGACCCCTCTGGCCCTGCTTCCTGCAGGCACAGACCCGGTGGCCAAGTGGTGGGCCTCGCTGACGGCTGTGGTGACCCACTGGCTCCGGCGGGATGAGGCGGCGGCCGAGCGGCTGTATCCACTGGTGGAGCACCTGCCCCGCGCCCTGCAGGAGTCCGAGTGAGCGCAGGCTGCGTGCTCGTGCCCCCACCCCGACCCCCAGCTTTGTTCTGTGCGGTTGGGGTCCCGTCATTTCTTTCCCGGGAAGCCAGAACCAGGGCAGGGGAAGCTCGGCGAGGGCCTGAGGCCTGGTCTGACCGTCACACCTCTGCCTTGGCCCCAACAGGAGACCCCTGCCCAGGGCGGCTCTGCACACCTTCAAGGCTGCCCGGGCCCTGCTGGGCCGTGGGAAGGCAGAGTCTGGCCCGGCCAGCCTGGCCATGTGTGAGAAGGCCAGTGGGTACCTTCAGGACAGCCTGGTCGCTACACCAGCCGGCAACTCCATTGACAAGGTGAGGGCTGGGGCCAGGGGCCTGGCGGGTCTTGGGGGCCTTGGCCTTTCCACTCCCCGGACGGTCCCCCTTGGGCTGCAGAAGACTGCAGGGTCAGCCCAACAGTACAGGACTGGGGGCTAAGGTTTGGGTCCAGGGGAGAGTGGCTGCCCCCTCTGGCCTCAGTGTCCCCACCCCCGGAGGACGGCTGGGGTGAGCGGTGTGGCAGGGCCTGGAGAGCGGGCGGCCCCGCGGTGCATTGCTGTTGCATTGCATGTGTGAGGCGGGTGCAGTGCCTCGGCAGTGCAGCCCGGAGCCGGCCCCTGGCACCACGGGCCCCCACTCTTCCTTCCCAGAGCCAGAGCCCCCTGACCCCTGCCCTGCCCACCACCCCAGGTCATGCAGCTGCTCTTGTGTGACCTGCTCCTTGGGGCGCGCACCAGCCTGTGGCAGCGGCAGAAGCCGCCGGCACCCTCCCAGGCCTCACCGGGCCCAGGCAGTGGGGCCCAGGCCTCTGCCCTCGAGCTCCGTGGCTTCCAGAGGGACCTGAGTGGCCTGAGGCGTCTGGCACAGAGTTTCCGGCCTGCCATGCGGAGGGTGAGTGCCCATGGGGCCCTGGCTTGCAATGGGGATGTATGTGAGGTGTCGGGAGGGAGCGGGGGCCTGGCTGGAACCTCTCCTGGCCTCTCCTGCCCAGGTGTTCCTGCATGAAGCCACTGCCCGGCTGATGGCAGGGGCCAGCCCGGCGCGGACACACCAGCTCCTGGACCGCAGCCTGAGGAGGAGGGCCGGCCCCTGTGGCAAAGGAGGTGAGAAGGACAGCTGGCCCAGGTGGGAAGGGCCACACGCCAGGTGGAGGCTGCAGAGGGAGGCTGTGTGTAAGACACACAGAGACCGAGGGACTTGGTGGTGGCTCCCTGATGGGAGGCCTAACCTGAGAGTCAGTGGGGACGACTGTCCTTTGTGGGACACGCGACTGTGTACGCGGTCTGTGCTCCAGGGGCAGGCGCGGAAGGGGCGAGGCTCCGTGCTTCGAGGGGGGCGGGGGGGGGGGGGGGGGGGGGGGGGGGGCGGACTAGCCGGGGGCGGGGCCGGTTGTCCCGGGGGGCGGGGCAAGGATCCGAGCCCCACCCCCGGCGCGGCCCCGCCCCTGACATGCCACTGTGCGTGTGTGCAGGCACGGCAGCGGAGCTGGAGCCGCGGCCCACGAGGCGGGAGCACGCGGAGGCGTTGCTCCTGGCTTCCTGCTACCTGCCTCCCGGCTTCCTGTCGGCGCCTGGGCAGCGAGTGGGCATGCTGGCCGAGGCGGCACGCACGCTCGAGAAGCTCGGTGACCGTCGGCTGCTGCATGACTGCCAGCAGATGCTCATGCGCCTGGGCGGCGGGACCACCGTAACCTCCAGCTAGACCCCCGCTGGCGGCCCAGCCCCAGCGCCCCTGTTTCTGTCTCGACGGCCGAGGGCAGCGCCGGAGACCCGGGGTCCAAGGCTCGCCCACGGAGTGCACTGTCCCTGGAGGGCTGGAGACCCTCGGGAACTTCCGCACTTGACCTTGGGGCCTCCCCAGCCCGCTCCAGCCCTCGATGAGCGGCGGCCGGGATGGTGCTGGCCCCTGGTGGCCGGCCGGGGGATTGCCGGGGCCTGGCCGCCGCCGGGGGGTCAACTGTTACGCCCGCCGCCGCGGATCCTGGGCTTTCCCTCTCCGTCCAGAGGGAAGAGGGGTGCGTCTCACTGAGCCGAAGGGCCCTGCCCCCGGCGCCTCCCTCCCATCTGGGGAGACCTGTGCGTAGTGTAGATCGTGGTGCGCCAGGCTCCTGGCCTCTGAGGTTCCAAGTGTTACTTTGCCTTTTGCAAACTTTATTTTCATAGGTTGAGAAGTTTTATACAGAGAATAAAAAATGAACTTATTTATAATCTGGGTTTTGCTCCTTTGGGGAGAGGTGTGTGTGCTAACCAGAGGGGATCCTTTGAGCCATCCGTTCCCCCAGCACCCAGGCAAATGCTTCCCATCCCTACCTGCCCTTCGGTTTGGGAGGCCCAGCTTTATTCTCTCCAGCTGACTTGGGTCCCACTGATCACGGGGCCGCACGTTTGGGCTATATCATCTCCTAACCCTTAGGGCTCATATGGTCTCAGCTGTGCCTCCTTGCCTCCTCTCCCAGCTTCTGCCCCCTTCAGGTCCCGGGATGACATGGGAGGACAGCTCCATGTCTTTGGGGATCTGTTGTGACAGCAGGAGCTACAACCTGGGTCTCCCCTGTGTGTCTGGGTGTCAGTCTCACCTGCCTGACCCCTGTCCCCTTCCCGGAGGTCACGTGGGTGTGGCTGGGCAGCAAGGGCTTCTTTCCTGAACCTGCAGTAAGGTCCCCAGAGCCCTCCCCTCCCCTCCCCTCCATTCCAACCTCTCCCCCAGAGCCTGGCCCCTCTCCCAGCAAAATCTGGTCAGAATCCACGGGCTGCAGAATTCCAAAACAATCGTTGTATCTTTATTGACTTTTTTTTTTTCTGAATGCAATGACTGTTTTTTTTTACTCTTAAGGAAAATAAACATCTTTTAGAAACAGCTCGATACACACAGTCTTCAGTGTGAAGCAATATACTAATAAGAACACTAGTGTTAACATTTACATCTTCGTATATATTATATATATGTATAGTATACATATATATACACTATGTAACGAGGCCGGGTAGAATACACACGTTCACCGTTTTACAGTCATATGTACAGGAAGTTTCTAGGGCGGCCCCGGGCTGGGGCTGCATCAGGCCTATCGAAGCGTGGACAGAGCTGAGGACACGGACAGACAGGCGGACGAACTGGCGGGCACTGGCCCGGGCGGTGGTGGCTGCTTGGGGAAGGAGGCAGCGCCGGAGCCCCCCTTCCCAGCAAGGGCCCCGTGCTGAGGGGCACACGACGCACGGCAGCGACACACGGGAGAAGCGAGCATGTTCCCAACATATATACATTCTATGTGACATATATATAGAGGGGCACACAGGTGTGTACATGGATCTAGCGCTGTCTCCGCTCCCGTGCGAGTGGCGCTGCGGCCCCCGGAGACGGTGGTCGTGCAGAGGGTCGGTCATGCGTCTGCCGGGGGTGCACTCTGGTCGCGACTTTTAGTTTTGCGCTCCCAGGCTGGGCTCCGGGGACGGGGCGGACTGGAAGGGAGACGAGCAGAAGCCAGCGGGAGCCAGTCCGGCCCACGCCCGGGGAGCCCGCATCCCCTGAGCACGGGCCCCAGGCCCCCCGCCCTCCCGACCCGCACGAAGGTTTTGGCCAAGGCTGGGAAGGAAGGGCACACAGCCTCCGGCCCCTCCTGCGCCGGACGGGCTTCGGCTCCCCCCGCCCCCAGCCTCGTTCCAGGAGACACGTCCTGGAGGGAAGCCAGCCTCGGCCTCTTCAGACCCCACCCCACTCCCAGGGTGCCCAGCTGCGTGCCACTACCGACCCACGTAGAATGTGTGCCACGTCGTCCTGAAACTTCCAGGGGGAGAAGCGTATCCCCAGGCTAAAGGCCTCCCACCCACGCCAGAGCCCGGGTGTTCCAAGGAGTCTGGCCGCTCCGCGGGCTCCCCTTCTCCAAGCCTGGCCGGGGGATGGGGGCGAGAAGGCCCTGTGCCGTCCGGTTCCGGGAGCAGACGGATCCGGAACCTGTTTTCTTCCCGACCGGGGACCACTAGTTTCCGCCCGAGGAGGCCAGATCCAAGATCCGGGTTCCGGATCAAGGATCGGCTCTGGACCCGCGCCGGAAGCAGCGCAAAGGCGCGGGGGCTGCGCCGGCGGCTCTTCTCCTCGGCGTCGGCGGCGTCGGCGGCGTCGGCGGGCGGGCGGGCGGGCGGGCGGGCGGGATCCGGCGGCTCCTCCGGCCGGGGGTGGATTACAATGGCAGCCTCTGCGGGGAAGAGACGCGCGGCTAGTTGCTGACTGCGGGGCACCTGCCGAGCAGTCAACTCCTCCAGACCCGCCCGTAGGCCAGTCCCCGCGCCCCGCCCCGCCCTGGGCTGGCCCCGCCTCCCGCACGTGCGGGCTGTATAAGTGGCCCGGGGCCCACCCGTGCTGATCCGCCCCCGCCTGGTCCGCCCGGAGCCGGCGTTCCCGCGCCGGGGCTCCTCTCCAGCCTGGGCCCCTCCAGGGGAGGCTCGCGGTCACCCACCTTATGTTTGGGGCATTGCAAAGAAAAGTTCTCTTCGATGAATATGCAACCTGTGAGCAAGAGAAGTTCGTGCGGTCAGAACGGCGTCTTGTCCGGCCGGGAGGGGGGCCCACCGCCCCGGACGCCCTCAGCTGCAGGGTTTTTTTTCAAAGAGTAAGTCAGCCTCTGCTTGAAATCCGACCCAATCCGAACTCCGTCAGCCCTCCAGCCCCGCTGGCCTATCTGTCCTTTACTCTCCTTTCCCCTCCCTCTGGAACCCCCTTTTGTCATGGGGAGGCCTCCCCGCTCTCCCCCTCCCCCTCCCCCGCTGTGCTTTGCTGGGCCATACTGGTCACTCCCTCCTGGTGGTCCGGGCCCAGCCCCTAGGTAGGCCTTGACACCCAGGGGGTGCTCAGTGAACGTGTGTTGACCAACTGGGACTGGGGGTGGCACTTCCAGAAGCATCATGCTCGGCCGCCCCCAGCAGCCACTCTGGACGTGGGGAGGAGGGCCAGTCACCCATCCCCAGCCCCTTTCCTGGTGTCTGCACTTGGGGAGCCAGGGCCCAGCTGACAAAGTGGCCTGGGGCCTGGTGCTCGCTCTGCTAGCTCCAATGTGGGCTGCCTAACAAAGGGCGCAGGGTCAGTGGGCCTGGGCAGCTCTGGTGCCCCGCGGTCTGAGGGTCTGGCCCAGACCCCTGGAGAGCCCCACGGAGGACCGTACTTCCAGACCCGGGTCGGGCAGGTGCAAGGTGCTGACCAGGGGCTGGGTAACTGCTGGGGGGCTCCTGCCTGCCCAGCTCACTCCCTGGGTGCCCCCCGCGCCCCCCTGCTGCCTGGAGCCAGGTCCCCCTCCCCTCTGGCTGCTAGGCTCACTAGTCCTGCCCCCTTCTCTGGCCACTGTACCCCCTCCATGCCCCTCCCTCACACCACCCCTTCTGGGCTCTGCCAAACTCTCCAACCCTTAGGCAGATGCCTCAAGTTCAACCCCAAAGGGAGCTGCACGTGTGAGGATTAACCGCCCCCCACACCCGGCCTTGCACAGCCCCTCTGTGAAGGAGAGAGGGGGCTGCCCAGCTGGGCCTGGTGGAGCGGGGAGGCCATGCAGAGCAGAGAGGAGCTGGCCCAGCTGGGGCCCCAGCTCATCTGGGTCCACCAGCCTCAGCTGAGCTGCGTGCTGACTACGGCCACCTGGGTGAGCTCAATCTGGCATGCGGCAGGGCCCGCCTGCCCACACACCCCCTCCTGAGATGTGCTGGAGGCTGGGCCTGGAAGGTCCGGTGGCTGATACACCAGTGGCACAGCCTGCCCTGCCTCGGGCCTGCTCACTGACCTGGGGACACTGGCCACCTCCCTCTCCCCCCTCCTCCCAGCATGGCCCTGCTTCCTGTGCTTGCAAAGCCTCTGAGGCGCAGGCTCCATCTGCACCTGCAGCCCCTCTCTCCGGAATGCAGGGCTCCGTCACAGGTCTGCTCAGGCCAGCATCTCATCTGCCCCCTGCAGCTCTAGAGAGCTCTACTAGATGGGGAATCCCTCAAAGACATCACTGGAAACAGTTTGTATCGCTCCAAGCCTGGTATATATGTCCCACCACAAGCCAGCTCCTGCCCACCTCCCTTGACCTCTTGAGGACTGGCTCCAATGTCACCTCCTCCTAGAAGCCCTCCTGGATTCCCTCCCAACTCAGGATGGATCTCTCAGCACAGTCTCTCCTTGTCTGGTCTCCGTAACTTTAGGCAAGGATCACGGTTTTCCTGTCTGTCCCACTGAGACATGAGCCCCCAAGGAGGCTGGGAAGCTGGAACACCGGAGAGGACAGTGCACAGGATGTGGAGCCGGCCAGACAGTGAGTCACCCCCTGGTCCTGTTCCTGCAGTGCTGTGGCCACGGGTAAGACAGCCTGTCTTTGAAGGTGCCGCTGGAGACAGTGCAAGGCCTGGCACGGGGCTGGCAGAGCGCAGGCGCAAACCTAATCACTGCGAGAGGAGAGCTGCAGCCCGCGGCACCTGTTCCTGGAGGTCAGGCCCGGGCTCGGAGTCCACATTACAATCTGGTTCCCACGGCCCTCAGGGCAGGGTGTGGAGCCAGAGCGGCCCCATGTCCCGCTCCAGCGCGTTCCCTTCCTGAGGTGCTAGCGCCTCAGCCCTCACCAAGGAACCGTCACCGCTCAGTCCCGTGTGTGCTCCTGGGGGCGGCTCGGTGCGGGCTGATGCCAGGAAGTGGCATTCAGGTGGGAAGAGGGGTCCCTGGGCTGTGGGAGCAGCGAGGGTCCTGCCAGGAGATGCCTCTGCCCTGCCGTCGTGCGACAGGGTCACGATAACCTCACCCTCTTCCAGGGCAGCAGGGGGCGGGGGACAGAGATTGCGGGGGCTGGCCCCCAAATCGGACCGGGGCTGCCCTTTCTGGGTCGTGCTTGTGATCTCCCTCCCTGCTCCAGACAGCTGCAGAAAGAAGAAATGACTCTAACCTCAGCTTTACAGATGGGAACCGAGTGCAGAGACATCGGTGGACTCACCCAGTCCACACCTGAAGCATGCCACCAGGACTGGGGGCTCCGGGCTCTCTTACCCAGGCCATCAGTATGCCACCTGCCTGGTGATGATAGGTGCTCGATAAATGCCCGCGGGTCAAGTGAGCTAGGGAGTGGAGAGAATGGGGCAGGTGCAGGGGAGCCTGGTCCTGACTCCAGGGCCCACCGTCCTGCTTAAACCTTCCACAGCTGTGCCGTGGAGCCAGGGGGAGTCTGTCTTGAACTTCCTCTCTTTCCATCTCACTCAATTTTTGTTACTGAACTATCTTTTCTCCTTTTTCTCCAACCCAGTGAACTCCTATTCAGCCTTTTTCCAAGGCCCAGCCCAGTAGCCCTGCTCTTGGAGGCCTGAGACCCTCCCGAGCTGTAGGCACCCCTCGGCAATGGCAGCTCACATACAGCTTTCCACTTCGTAGTTTGTGCTTCTGGGCACTCCTCCAGCAGGTGGCTGGGGACTGACGTGTCTCCTTGTCAGCAGCACTGCCCAGCACAGGGCCCAGCCGAGAGACACGAGAAGGTAAAGAATTGCTGGGGCAGGAGAAGAGGGAAGCCGACGGGTCAAGTGGGGTCAGTTCGAGGAGCTGTGCCTGTGTCCCCTGACCTTCGGTCCCCTTGGGCTGGCTCTTACCCGCATCGCTGGCACATGGGTAATGGTAGGTGTGGATGCATCCTTTGTGGCAGCATCCGATGGTGGCCCCGGCTTCTTGGCAGCTGGAACAAGTCTGGCGAGGAGAGAGGGAAGACAGGTGAGTCTGCAGCCGAGGGGCCCGGCCCCCACCCCTTCCTCCCAGGGGGCCCTGGAAAGGCAGCTTGGAGGGAGGCTCAGAATGGACATCCACAGGGTTGGTTTTGTGGCAGCCGCTGGCCTGGCACCTTGGGCGGGGGGAGCTCTCAGGGCGGGAAAGCAACCATCTTGTGGATAAGCCTCGGCATCCCGCAGGCCCGGGCGAGCCCCGGCTCAGCCACTGTGCACCGCGTGACCTCAGCCAAGCAACTCCGCTCCTCTCGCCTCTTCCATACGGGGGGGGGGGGGGGGGGGGCTGCCTTATGGGACAGTCGTGAAGATTAAATGAGCAACTCCGTGTGCCCAGTGGATGACAACGCACAGGGCCAGTCACTGCCCGGCTGTGCCGTCGCCTGCCAGCTCCTCCCCACAGCCTCCGGGTGGGCAGCTTCATGGACGCCACTTCACAGACAGTGAAGCTGAGGCCCCCACTCCAGGCGGAGGTGATAAGTATCGTTTCCTACCCTTTCCGGGGTCAGAACAAGCACTGGACCCAGAGTCGGTGCTCTACTCAAGAGAGGCCGCTCACCCTGCCCAGGACCCATGAGGAGGAAACAGCCACTGCCTGAACGCGGGGCTCATGTAAACCCTATGCCGGCCGGCACGGCAACTGGCCCACTCGGCCTCTCAAAAGCCAAAACCGTGGTCTGAGCTTGGGAGCTGCCCCAGGTTGGGCCCAGCTGCCTGCAGGGGGACGTGCCAGGACAGGATGGCGATGCCAGGAAGCCCCTTGGAAGCAAAACCTGAGGCCTGGGGAGGGACAGGCTGGTCCCCAGATCCTGCAGACCCCCTGTGTAGCAGGGGGGTGAGGTTTGGGGGGGGGGGCAGGCCCCCGCGCGGAGGCTAAGCCACTGAAACCAGTAACTGCAGTTCATGACACACCAGGCACACGTGGAGGCCGCCTCCTGAGAACACCCCGATGGCATCAGCATCACTTTATTTTATACAGGTGAGGGATGAGAGCTCAGAAAAGCCGAGTAACTTGCCCAAGGGCACACAGCTCAAGAGCAGCTGGACAGGCTTTGAGCCCAGCAACCCCGCTGGAGCACAGGCTGGCGGTCACGGTGCCTCACTGCTCGGGGTGGGGGGCAGGGGTGGGCTCCTTCCCATGCCAGGGACTGATGGGGACCCCACCCCCAGCAGATGGGAGGCCAGGAATGAGTCTTCTCACGCCCTTCCTGGACCTAGCCTGAGAAGTGCCTGGGAATGTGTGTTCTGGAGCCGAGCTGGGGTGGGGAGCTAGAGTGGAGGCTGGGGGTCGGTCTGGAATATCCATTCCCTCAGGATGGCAGTCTCCTTCTGGTCAGGACTGAGCCTCCTAGGACTTTGTGGCAAAGGTGTGATGGAGCAGGAGTGGGCCCCCAGACCGGGCCCAAGTGGCCCTTGATGGCTAAACAGCGACAGTGGGCTCCTCTGGTGACGGCCTCACGCCACCCCACCTGCACTGAGGCCCCCAAACCCTTGAGACAGGCATTTTAGATGTGGAGAAATGGAGATACGGAGAGGCCTTGGGCCCTTCCGACCCCGGCGCCCACGTTCTGAGCTGTTCCCCTGGGTGGGTGATGGGGGGCCTGGGAGTTTGTGGGGAGAGGCAGCCTCTGGGCAGACGAGGAAACTGAGGTCCCTGGAGGTGGGCACAGCACAGCTCAGGGCGGGTAGGTGTGTAGGGGCCCCCAGAAAGGGACACAGAAGGAAGAGGGGTGCCCCCGGGCCTGTGCAGAAGTTCTGTTCCCGCAGAGCCAGGGTGCTGACGGGTGTGAAGGCCGGGGTCCGGCTGTCCCCGCAGCCCCACCCTGCTGACGGGCTTTGGCGCCCCGAGGCTCACAGAGGATGGTGACTTGCTGGGGTTACAGAACTGGCTCTTGGGGCAGAGCTGGGATTGGAACCGGGGTCTGCCTGACTCCAAGGCTGCGCGCTACCACGGAGGTCTGGGCTTGTCAGTGGTCAGGGGGCTGAACCATGACCTGGGAAACCCCAGGCCCCGCCCGTCTTTGCAGGCAGGGTGTCCTCCAGGTGCGGGCGCTGGTTTAATGAGCTCCACCTGGCCCGGGACCACCTCTCTGGCAAGGCGGCTGGTGACCACCCCTGTTCTGACCTTCCCAGGGATGCTCCCAGGGTGGGAGGCCGCTGGACCATTTTTGGAGGATGGCACAGCGGGCAGAGATGGGGCAACTGGGCCAAGCTCCAGCTCCGTGACGTAACAGTCGTATGACGCCAGGAAACCGCAAGGCCACTCAGCCCCCCGGCTTCCTCCCCAGGCCAACAAGAGGTTGGTGCAGTGAGGTGAGACCAAAGCGCCTGGAACAGGTGACCTGGGAAAGGGGGGGTTGGCTTCTGTGCTTGGACAAGGTGCAGAAGCAGTGCAGCCTAGTGGGGCGGAGCAAGCCGGGGAGGCTTTCAGGAGGCCACAGGTGGCCGCTAGCTGGCCTGGTGATCTGAGCGTTTGGTATTATCTTTTAATGGTGGGAGACACCTGAACCTATTTCAGGGCCGCTGGAAAGGAGGCAGTGAGGAGGGAGAGAAGCAGACACACAGGAGGGAGGGGAGGAGAGGAGACCGGAGGCAGGAAGGGTGAGGGCTCCGGGTCTTGGGGCTGCTGTCGGGCTGGAGGACCCCGCACGGAGAGGGTCAGGCGCCGGAAACAGGGAGGTGTGGGCAGCCCAGTAGCGCCCCCCTGCCCAGCATAGGGCTGTCCGCGTGGCTGGTGCCAGGGGTGGGGGTACCCAGAGGGAACAGGTGTGCAGGTGGGGTGGGCACAGGGCGGTGGGGGCCCGAGGGCTGGGGAGGGGGGCAGGAGCACGGGCTGCAGGAGAGTGCCGAGTCCCACCCCATCCCCGGGAGTGAAGGGATCGGGGGTCCCCTCCGTGATCGGAGTAATGGTCACACTGCTGAGACAACATGCTAGTGTCATCCAGGTGGCTGCCACTGTCACTGGCCCCAGGCGATAGTCACGGAGCACGTGGACGGGCCAGGTATGGCTGTAATAGCTTTATGGGTGTGAACTCAATCCTCAGGGTCCCTCCACAGGGGACTATCATGCCCACTTTAGAGATAAGGAAACGGAGGCACAGAGAGGTTAGGTTATATTCTTGGAGACACACAGCGAGGGGCAGCGCTGGGACCGAAACCAAGTCCTCGGCGACTGCAGTTCCTCAGGGGACGTTTTAGGGCCTCGCAGGAAAGGTTCCTGGACCACCCTGCCCCTAAGGGCTCACAATCCAGCCACCTGGTGCTGGAGAGGCTCTTCCCCCGCAGGTCCCGCTGCCCCTGAGGCCACGGAGGCAACCCCCTGACGTGCAGTTCTGGGGCCTGAGCATCTCGGCTGATGAGGTGAGCAGGGGGCTTGGGCGGGGGCGTGCTGCAGCCGGAAGGGGCCGAGTGCGTGTGTGGTGGGTACAGGGCTGAGCAGCAGGCAGTAAGGGGCCACAGTGGGAGGTCTGGGGCAGGGCTGGGCAGATGTGTCCTGCCTCAACCTGGAGTGTGCCTCCATGTTCCAGCTAGGCTCCCCACGTATTCATTTCTGATTGTGGTGTGTTTGGGCCAGACTGTAGCATTAGAGAGATGGCCTGCCTGCCTGCAGAACCTGAGGTCCCCACCGGCTGGGCTGGCCTCTTACCATGTCCATGGCCACCTTCATGGCCTCCTGCAGCCCAAAGAGCTTCCCGGCCACCAGGTAGACCCCGCCCGTCCACACGGCGCAGGCCTCGTGCACCCAGTGCTCCTGTGCGTCCCCGCCAGGCTCTGCCGGCGGCTCCTTGCTGCACTCGTGCTTGCGGCTCCTGTCAGCTGGGGCTGTCTCTTCACCACCTTCCCCCCGACCGTCACAGCAGTAGCAACTCTGCAGCCGCCGGGACAGGCCCCGGGCGCTGGTGCGCAGAGAGCCCTGCTTGGCTGGATCGGCTGGGCCGTCAGGCCTGGGGGGCTTCCCGGTGGTGGTGGTGGTGGCGGTGGCGGCGGCAGCGGCAGCTGGGCACTCGAGGCCTTTGAGTGTCCTCTCAAGAGGCAGCGAGGCCTCCTCGCAGGTGCTCTCTGGCCGCACCTTCTCCTTGAGTTTTGGCTTCTTTTTGGGGAGGCAGTGTCCAGGGTAGTAGGGCCCACAGAGGTCCCCGAGGTCCTTGAAGTTGGCTGGGTTTTGGCAGAGGCAGCAAACAAGGCAAGAGGTACTCAGGGCCTTGGAGACCACGGGCCCCAGATGCATGGTGGAGGAGAGGGGCAGGGAGGGCCGAGGCTGCAGGATGGAGCCTCCAGGGAGCGTGGCTAGGGAGGCCCCGGCCGCGTCCAAGGAGAAGGAGCAAGAGGATGAAGAGGAGGAAGGCTTCCTGTGGGGCTTGGGCTCGTCTCCGGGGGAGTTGACTACAGTACATACGGTGGTGAACGCATCCCGCTTCTCCACCCGCACGAAGGGCGAGAAGGCGGGGGTGCGGCTGTCTGCTCGCAGCCGCTTGCAGGAGGAAATGTATTTGAGGCGGATTTCAGGCTCCGCGGGATCCAGGGGCAGCACCTGCTGCTGTCGCCGCCGCTTGGCACGCCCCTTACAGGGTGAGGTGGCGGCGTTCTTGGCCCGGCCCCGCGTCAGGCGCTTCCGCTTGGAATAGCTGCTGTAGTTGGCGTGGCCAGGCTGCTTCTGTGCCCTCACCTGCGGCTGGCAGGGCCGGCCCTCAGGGGGCTGGGAGGCCAGCCCCAGCTCCTCCATCTTTGGCTTCTTGCCTCCTCCGCCAGAGCTGTCCTCGCTACCCCCCTGCGTGCTGCTGGCCGTCAGGAGCAGAGCTGGACCGAGATGAGGTCTCTTCTCCAGGGAGCCTTTGGGGAGTCCGAGGACTCCAGCCCTGCCTTTCCGGCTTCTCTTCTTAGGTGCCAGGGCAGTACCCCCGGGCAGTAGGGCCTCTGGGGATGTGAAGGCCTCAGTTTTGAAACCGTCGGTCGAGGACAGTTTCTTATTGTTCACGAGTTTGCCTTTTAAGGATCTGTTGGTCGGATTTCTGCATAACGGATCGGCCCCCAAGGCTGCTGGGAACTTCTGCCCAGTGCTCACGTTTAAGAGACCTTCTTCTGCCCCCAGCGGGCTGCCCCCTGCGCTCTTGAGCCCGCGGTCCTTCTCGGGGAGGGATGGGCTCAGAGGATTCCCGGGAGGGGCCCCTGGTGCTCTGCACGCGAACTTTTTCAGGCTGGGTGAGGTGATCTTCTGCACGATGGCCTCCAACTTCAGGCCCCGGCCTTTCCGGGGGGGCAGCACCTTGGTCTTCATGGCCCCCTGGATGGACGCCCGTGAGGCCAGCTTCAGGCTGGCGTCAGGGGTCTCCGGGGGCGGCGGCTTTGCCGTGGGCTCACTGTTGCCCTTGGCGGGCTTGGCCTTCTTGGGAGACGTCATCCTCTTGAAGAGCGTAGGAGGGCCCTCGGCCCCCTCCTCCTTCGTGTCCCCGCTGGTGCTGCCGCTGCGTAAGACCAGGTTGCGCTTCTTGGTGGGGACAGGTGCCATGAAGGCCGACTTCCTCTTGAGGGTGTGGAGGGGCCGATCGGAGAGCTTGCCGCCTGTACCAGGCTTGGGGACCCTTGCCCGTTGGCCCGCCCTGCCCTCCTTCTGGGGGCTACCGGCGACCTTGAACGTGGCGGGCAGGTGGTTGTTGGCGAGGAGCTTCTTGGCGGCGCGGCAGTTGGGGAGCCGGCTCTCCGAGGCCCGTCGCCGCTTGCAGTGGAAGGCCTCCTGGGTCCTGGTGCAGGACCGGAGGATCATGGAGCGCTGGTCTTTGCCTGGTGCATCCGGCGAGTCTGTCTCCTTGGTCTTGGAGCCCATGGGGCTGCTGTCGGAGGCCACGGGCAGGGCGGCCGGGTTGCTGGGGCTGGATGCGGCTTTGGGGGAGGGCTTCCCCACCCGCTTGCCCGACTTGAAGGCAGCTCGCTGCTTACCCCCCAGCTTGTCTGGGGGGGCAGGGGTGGTGGGCAGGCCCGGGGGTCCGGGTGTGCGGGGCTCACTCAGGGCCGTGAAGGAGCGGGTGCACATCCTGGGGAGCCCTTCCGAGGTCCCCCGGCCTGGGGCCCCCGCGCCTTCCATCTGTCCCTGGGGGGGCCCCGTGCACGATTCAGGGAGCAGCAGGTCTTTGGGCAGCGCCGGGGCCCTGCACGGGGAATCCTCGGCCTCGGGCAGCCCCCGGTGCACCCGCCGGCTCCGTAAGCTTTTGCCACGAGGCACAGGCTCCTTCTTGGCGATGGGCGCCTCGGGCACAGCGGGCTTGTTCGGCTTCTGGGTCAGGGAGGCTTCCGGGGCCAGGGCGGTAGAATCCCCTGGGGCCAGCGTCCCCTCGGGCCCCTCTTCCCCTGGCTTCATGTGGGAGAGGGAGGACTCGAACCAGCTCTGCACCTTGGACTCGGTGCCCACGGTGGGGCCCAGCAAGATGACGGACTCGCCAGACAGGGCACACGGGGAGCCCCAGCCGGCCTTGGGGTCCAGCACCTCCTCCACCTCCTCCTTGCCACACAGCAGCGGGGCCTTGGGCGACAGCGGGTCCTGCAGGCCCGGCCTCTGCTCGGGGCTGCCCAGGAGCTCGCACAGAGACGAGTACTCTTCCGCCTCCAAGTCCCCCTTCCTGCCGGCGGGCGGCAGCAGCGGGAGGTCTCCAAAGTCAGCGGCGGAGCAGCAGTGCCGGCTGTCCTCCAGCCACCGGTCGGCCTTGCCCACCTCGGGACACTGCAGCAGCCCACCCGCCTCCTCCTTCACCCCGCCCCCCTCCTCCTGCTGGGAGTCCCGGGGCACCACGGCCTTCTCCCCCGAGGGCTGCTCCTCCTGGAAGCCCAGGCAGGCCGAAGCCTCGCGGGCGTCCTCCTGGCCGACGCTGTCGGCGGCCTTCCCGCCCTGCTCCAGGCCCTTGGCGAGCTCGCCGGGGTGCAGTCCCCACCGGGGACAGGCGTCCCCCAGGTTCTCCTCGGGCCAGGCGAAGGGGTTGGCGCCGTCCGCTGAGCTGGCGGCAGTCGTGTCTGGGAAGCAGTCGAAAGCCGCCGTGGCGGGGTCCGAGGCGGCGGCCCCCAGCGTGGGCTTGGCACCAAAGGAGAGGGGACCAGTTGTCTTCTTGGGGTCAGGGGTGGCGAAGCCCACGGAGGGATCTTCGAACAGCCCCGGGCCGAAGTCCTTGGTGCCGCCGCCCTTCTCCAGCTGCAGGGCCTCGGGCAGGGCGTCCTGCTCCCCCGGCCGCGGCCACGCACCCTTGGCCACGGGGTCCAAGCAGGCGCTGTGGTTCTCCAGCGAGAAGGGCGGCTTGCCGGTGTCCTTGGCCAGGCCGGGCGCCTCGGCCCAGACCTTGTCGGCCTTCTCGCTGATGGCCTCCTGCAGCCCCAGGATCTCGGAGGCCAGGTCCTCCTGCGCCAGGGCGCTGAGCAGCAGGCGCGGGCAGTCCCGCTCGCCAGCCACGAGCTTGGAGAAGCTGTCGAGCGGCAGGCTGCCGTGCAGGCTCTGGAAGGAGTCATCGGACTTGGTGGACATGTCGTCGGGTGAAGTCACGGAGCAGGTGGACACGGACTCGGGCTTGGCCTTGGAGCTGCCGTGGACCCTGGCGGGGCTGCCGCGGGCCTGGCTGCAGTAGAGGAAGCTGCGCTCCAGCGGGTCCTCGGAGCCGCTCAGGTAGTCGGCCTCGGGCGGCTCGGCGTGCGTGGACTGTGGCGTGCTGCTCAGCGGCTCCGACAGCGGCGTGCCTGCCGGCTCGGCTGAGTAGCCGCTGCCCTCGGGGCTGCAGTGCCGGCTCTTGTGCTGCTCCGGGGTCCGGGCCGCCAGGCTCTTGGCGCCCTTCTTCTGGGGCAGGGCCGCCTTGGAGAGCAGCAACTGCTGTACGGTGGTGGAGATGTTCTCCACCTGCGAGGTCAGCGCCGTGAGGCTGTGCAGGCTCAGGTCTGACAGCAGGCTCTCGGGAAGCTTGTCCTTCTGCAGGGCCTTGCAGTTGGCGGCCTGGGCATCCACGGAGCCCGCGGCGTCCGTCGGGGAGGGGTTGAGCAGGGGCAGGAAGTGGCTGTGGTCCGCGAGACTGGCGGGGAAGGCTCCAGGGCCCAGTGGCTGCTGGTTGTAGGGAAAGCTCTCCAGGTTGGGCATCAGCGGCGACGGGGTGGAGCTGTAGGAAGGGGAGCGGCCCACGGAGCGAGCGGGCGAGTGGCTGGAGCCGGGGCTGAAGGTCTGGTAGTACTGCTCCGGGGTCCTGACGGCCGCGTCCGGCTGGCAGTAGCCTGGGCCTTGCTGCCCGTAGTGTTGGTACTTGGTGAGGTTCTGGTAGTGGAGGGTTTCCTGGGCGTGGTGGCGGCTCTGGAGGGCTTGCTGCTGCTGCTGCTTCTGTGGCTCGTAGCTGAGGCGCCCAGGCTGGTAGGCGTGAAGGCTCGGGACCCGCTGGCCTGGGGCCAGGCCGGCGTTGGCGGTCAGCGGCCTGTCGTGGGGCTGGGTGGACGGGGCCGTGCAGCTCTTGTAGGAGTGGGCCCCCTGCCCGCCGCCCTGGCCGGTGGAGGAGTAGGTGGAGGAGACGGGGAAGGACTGGGACTGCTGGGGGAAGTGGCTGCCCGGGGGGAAGGGCAGGGGCGAGGCGAGGTCGTTCTGGGGCTTCTGCCTTTGGAGCTTGGGGTAAGCCAGGGGCTGCGGGGGCTGCTGCGGGACGTGGAGGGTGTGAGTCCGAAAGGGCAGCTGGGCGCCCTGCTCTGGGTACTGCCGGGCGGGGGGCGCTGCTGTCTTTTTCATCAGGTTCTCGTCATATTTGCCCACCGCCCCTGGCAGGGGTTGCGGCTGCGGGGGTGGTGGCTGCGGCGCCCCCCAGGCCTGCAGGCCCTCCTCCCCCGAGTAGCGGCCGGGGTAGGGGCTGCCGTCCTGGACGGCGTAGCCCGCGAAGGACGGCCTCCCCTGCGGGGCCTGCGGAGAGGACAGGCCTTTGCTGGCGCGCGCCGCCGTGGCGGGCGTGCCGGCGCCGCCCTCGTAGCTGGGGAAGGGCTGTGGGCCGTAATAGTCCTTGGTCAGCATACGCTGCCGGTCGCAGCTCAGCCCAGCCTGACTCGGCTGCTGCCGGTAATTCTCCAGGCGCGATGTCTCCTGTGAGGTCTGCTGGTAGGTCTGTTGTTTGCCATGGAAACCACACCTTTCTCGAAAAGACTGCATGACTCGGGCTGGTTATCTGTGAAAAGAGAAAGGGCGAGAGGGAGGGCGGGGAGGGGCAGAGGGAGAGCGATTCAGACCAGCCATTTCCTCTCCCTCGGAGAGCCGGCCCCCCTCCCGGCCCTGCCCTCTCCCGCAGCCTCCCCACCAGCTGTGCACATATTGACAACTTCTGTGTCAGAGACGTGTGCTCTGTAATTCCCGCTCCGACAGAGATGGGTACAGGGAGGCCACCGAGGAGGGAGGTGCGACCCGGCTGCCCAGCGCCAGGTCACTGGGGAGCTGCCCCCTCCCCCAGCCAGCTCCCCCTCCCTCCCCCACAGCCCTTCCAGAATCATTTAGCAGGGCAATTCCCGCTCCCCTGCCCCCTGGGGCTGCTGGATCCGGTAAGCTAGCCCCAGTGCAGCAGTGTTCAGGCGTGACCCAGCGTGTGGGGGGGGGGGGGGGGGGGGGGGGGAGCGTGCTCTCCCCCCCAAACACCCACAGAGAGGCCCGGCGCGCACACACCCGCACGCGCGCGCGCGCACACACACACACACACACACACACACACCTCCTCCATCACTGCCATGCCATCTGGAATCTGTCTGTTCCTTCCAGCAGACGCTGATTGGGGCTGCCGAGCCACTGCAGGCATAAAATGTCCCCTCCTCGACTCCCAGGAACGCAGGACGGCGGCACCTGCCTCCTGTTTTTCATACCGTAGGTACGTAAACAGATTACGCGGCCCAGGGCTGCGGTCCCTCCACGTGAGAGGCACCTCCACGTGAGAGGCACCTCCACGTGAGAGGCAGCCCTGGGCCTCCTGGGTGGGCGGGGCCTGCACGGGGTCAGGGCCAGGCCGAGAGCCCATCTGTTTATGATTTTAGGGGCTGGCGCGCACAGGGTCCGACCTGCCCCAAAGCAGGATCCCCCCGGGGGGTCAGGAAGTGACCCTGGAGTGGGGGTGGGGGGGCCTTCAGGGCAGAACAACTGGATTCACGTCACAGGCCAGCTGCAGCGTCCAGGCTAATGGTGGTCCTGCCGCCACCCAAGACCCTCGGAGGAGGGAGGAAGGAGTAAGGATGCCCCAGGCTCAGGAGTCCTGATGGCGAGGGCTGGCGATAGCCTGCGTCCCTGGGCACGGTGTTTACGCACACCATGCTCGCCTGCACAGCCCAGGCCCCCAGGAGGGCACAGGGAACCTCGCAGTGCCCGTTCCCAACCCCAAAGAGGGAGGGGTGGCTCGCCATGGGCTACGAGCCTCCAGGGCTCTGCGGGGGGAGCACAGAGAACGGGGTGGGGGACAGGCACACGTGGAGGGAGGGGCTCCCCCAAGAGGTGCAGCTCACCCCTTCTTCACCCAGATCCCACCTCCATGCTCTCCTCATGCGGTGGCCGGGGGGTGGGGCGGGGTGCTGACCAGGGAGGGGTCAAGCCTGGGGTGGCCGGGCGACCCCAGGAGCCCTGTCAGCACAGCCCAGGCCAACCTCCCTGTCCTTGGCAGTCGGCTGCTCGGACTCAGGGACTGAAACCCATGACCCTGGAGAGGGCTCGGCCCCTGCCCACAGGACGGGTCACAGCCCCATGCCATGTACTCTCCCTGGCTCATCACAGGCGCCCCGACACGGAGGAGACCCCCTTCTGACCCAGTTTAGTCCATCCTGGCAGCTGCAATCAAACACGACAGGAGGTGCCTGCTGTGACCCAGCCTTGGTTCCAGGGCGGCTCCCTGCCAGGTGGGCAGCCCCGCACCTCCCCCACGGGGCTCCGGGAGGGGGGGGTGCCGGGAGGAGGCTCCTTCTGCCCTTGGGCAGTGCACACGGGCACTCCCTCTGGCCCAGGCCTGAGCTGGCAGGTGGCGGCCTCTGCTCAGGGTGTCCTCTGCAGTCCCCGTGCTCTGCCCTCCCTGGCCTCGCTCATGAGCCCGGAATTCGCAAACCGAGGCCCACTCTGAAGGCTGCGCGTCGTATATCCGCACAAATTACATTTCGGCTTTTACTACCCAGATCGCTCTCATTTCCCGCTGAGCGTCTTGTGGATATCGTTAACATTTCTACAGCTTTTTTTTTTTTTTTAATATTTTTTCGCATTCTCTACAAATGCGTTACCAGAAACGTTATTTTAAAAGAGTGCTCTGGCCAGTGTCCCCTTCCCTGTTTAATCAGTCCAGCTGCTGCGTCTTTTAATTTCGCAGAGCCGTATTACAGCGGGTTTTCCAACGCACAGGAGCAGCTGGACGCGGTGAAAGCATCTATCTCTAAGACAAGACAGTTCAATTAAAATACGCGAAGCCCAGTGGCTGGTGGAGAAGGCAGGCAAAACTGCCTCCCCAGCACCACCTCCAACCCCAGGCCCAGGGAGGGGAGGGGTGCAGGAACAAAGGCCACCTCTCAGAGCCACCAGGTCCCCGGCCCCCGCCAGCTCTGCCAGGAGAAAATGGGGCTCGTCCTCTTTAAGAGCTGCCTCAGGCCTGCCACAGGCTCTGTTGTTATTAATTATTATGATTATGAGTTTTCAAGAGCACTAGAAAAGGACAGGCGGGAGAGAGGCAGGCTGAGAGCTGGGGTGGGCGGCATCAGGAGGGGGCGGAAAGAGGTTCGCTGGGCAGAGAGATGGCGACCTCTGAACCCGGGAGGAGAGATGGCAGCGGAGGGGTGCAGGCTGGGGGTCTGGCCTCTGTTCTGCGGAGAAGGGGTGGGGGTCAGGGGAGGGCACCCAGTAACATACCTTCACAGGACGACTCCTGGTCCAGACCCGCCTCCCCCTCCCCCTCCCCCCAGACACTTGGTCAAAGCCACATCTCAGGTTCTAGCCAAACTGGGAGAGAAGGAAGAAGGAAAAAGAGGAAAGAAGGAAGGGAGGAGGAAGTCAGTCCTGAGCTCCAGATCCGCCAGTGGCTTCTGTGGCGACTCCTGCGAGCCGGCCTGCCCAGGCCCCTGGTCCAGGCAGAAACAGCGCAAAGCTGGGCCAGGCCGCAGGGCCCACCCCGTGCCCCGGGACTCCTCTAGCTCAGCGACGGGTCTCCCTGCTCCCCACGCCGTGAAAGGGGGCGTGACGAGCCCCGCAGACACCCTCAGGCCCCAGGCACGAGGCCATCAGCCCCCGAAGGCCTTCGGCAGCCGGGCAACCAGGGCTCAGCCGTGTTTTCAGGCAAAGAGCACGGCTCTGCGGTCCCCGCACAGGCACTGCGGGACCCGCTGGGGTGGGGGGCAGGGGCAGCCTTGCCCGCGGTGCCTGCCCACCCCGTGTCTGCACACTCACTGCTTTGACTGTTCTGCCCTTTTACAGAGAAAGGGGAGGCTCAGAGGGGCGAGGACCTGAGTGTGAGCCACCCACAGGGCAGTTCCTCGTGATGGATGCCGCAGCGGCATGGACGGCCCTCGCCAAGAATTCCCAGCTTAGAGGAAGGCCCCTTGGAGCACGATAAGGAAAGGGGGGTGCCCAGGTCCCCTCTGCAACCTGCGTGGCCCCAGAAGCCGGGTCGGGCCTCACCCAACTGTAGGGAATCTACTAGTGGGCAGTGGCGGCCCCTGGCTGCCTGCTGTACCCTGGGCAGCCTCAGAGACAACTCACTGGGCCCACGGCCTCTCTAGCCCCCAGGGTCAGGCCCCGGTCAGGGAAGTGGGCCCAGCGTGGGCCGGAGCTGCTGTAGCTCCCGCAGGGACCTGGGAGGGAGGGGCGAGGAGGAAGCTTCTGTTCCCCAGCGGGGGCCCTGGGGCCATCCCACTCACTCACCCAAGGTTCTTTTATGACCTGGTTTTCTGATTTGCAGCTGCAGGGAAAAAACTTTAAAACCCAACCCACTCAAGGCCTGGGAACGAGGAAGGAGGGGAAAGTTACCTGAGTCAGGAGGCCGGGGATGGGGGTGTCCCAGGAGGAACGGAATGGTGGGACCACCTTGTGCCTCCCCATGTGCTGTGGGTGATGAATACTAAATAGGACACCTTGATGAAAATGATCGATCATTAGTCAGGCCGACTGCTATTTTGAATCCCAAGAGCCTGGCCTAAGTGGGGGGAAGGGGTGTTTCCAAGGACTCCCCAAGACAAGAGAGCCCAGGGCCCCCAGGCCTCTGGGACAGGTAGGGAGGGTCCTTGGGCCAGGCACCAGGAGAGGTCAGCATGGGGCAGAGGGGGCCGGGCCCATCCCGGGCATAAGGAATCCCAGAGAACAAGGCAGCCCCCACCCCAAAGTACGGCCTCTCAAGACCACCCTCTGTGGGCAACAACCATCCTCGTTCACGGGCACCCACGGGAGAACCCCACAAGGATCTAGCACACCCCTCTCCGCAGGGCCGGAGGTCCTGAATGTTCAGACAAGTTATGGGGTGAGAGGGGGAGAAGCAGGAAGACAGCCGGGCTCCTTAGCTGAGGCTAAGGACCGCGGGGCAGGGGGAGGTCCGGGGCTCTTTGGAGGATGTGTGAATGGGGGGGCAGAGGCTTCTGGTCTCTCCAGGGGTCGGGAAAGCTTCCCCTCGAAGCCCACCAACGCTGCCTCTTCCAAAGACCCAGCGGCGGAGACAGCCAAGACCTACTAAGCCCCCAGAAAGAGAGCCTCCCCTCAGGGTCAACCCACCAGGAGGACGCGCTGCCCCGCCCCGGGCATCACCGCCGTCCTGGGCACCATCCGGGTGCCGCCTGTGGAGCTCTCAGCCCGGCCGCCTCACTCCTGCCCCACAGTGCAGTTTCTGGGATGTGAGGGTCAGCTGAGCCGGAGGGGCCCACGGCCCAGGGGGTGAGGGCAGATGGCTAGCCGGACCCCTCCCCGCCGTGAGGTGTAGGGCAGCAAGGATTCGGCGCAGCCGAGCTGTTGGCACTCACGAGCCCTCCGGGGGAGGCTGGCGGGTGGGGGGCCCACCCTGCTATCGGCTCCACACCCATTAGTCTCTTGTGGACAGTGGTTGCTTTTACATCATTTTATCCACCACTCCCCAACTCTGTCAAATGAGGAAAAGAAAATGGGGCTGGTGCTGGATGCAGACAGCTAAGAGGGATGGGGTCAGTGGCTCCCAGTTTCAAGGTGAAAGAGCTGGTCCAGAGGCTGGCATGGGGGGCTGCCCAGCTGCCCCATGCCCCGCTGGTCTCGCGGGTGACTGCACAGTGCAGGTGACAGAGGATCTGTTTGCTGGTTTTCAGGGGAGGCAGAGAAGGCAAGGAGAGAGCCTAACCTCTCAGCCCCGTCTTGGCCTGGACACCCCACGTGCCCCACCCACCGTGACTTCCCGGGGAAGAGGACGTACCAAGGTGCCCAGCTGGTGGTCAGTGTGGCACCTTCCTGAGCCTCAGGGCCTTTACACCGCCTTTTCCTCTGCTGGGAATACAATTCTCAGGTACCACGTGGCTCCTCTGGCTCCCTGGGCTCCAAGCCTTTGCTCACGTCACCTCAGGTGGCCGACCCTAACCACTGTTTGAGACCCGCACTCCACCGCCCCCCCCCCCCCCCCCCCCCACTTCTCCAAGGTAACAAGTCATATGGCTGGCTGGCTGGCTTTATTACTGCCTCTCCTCTTTAGAAAGTAAGTTCCACAAGAGCAGGGATTTTGCCTGTTTTGTTCACAGCCATATCCCCAAGTCCCTGAACAATAACTGTTTGTTGAATGTATATTGTTTAAAATGTCACATGGGGGACTTCCCTGGTGGCGCAGTGGTTAAGAATCCGCCTGCCAATGCAGGGGACATGGGTTCGATCCCTGGTCCGGGAAGATCCCACATGCCGCGGAGCAGCTAAGCCCGTGCGCCACAACTACTGAGCCTGCTTTCTAGAGCCCGTGAGCCACAAGTCCTGAAGCCCGCGCGCCTAGAGCCCCTGCTCTGCAACAAGAGAAGCCACTGCAATGAGAAGCCTGTGCGCCGCAACTAGAGAGAGCCCGCGCACAGCAGCGAAGACCCAATGCAGCCAAAAATAAACAAATAAATAAAAATGTCACGTGGGACTTCCCTGGTGGTCTAGTGGTTAAGACTCCACGCTTCCACTGCAGGGAGCACAGGTTCGATCCGTGGTCGGGGAACTAAGATCCTCCATGCTGCACGGTGCAGCCAATAAATAAATAAAATCCAAAGTCTAATTGTTGAAAAATAAATAAATAAAACGTCACATTATGAAAATACCCAGAACAAGGTCGAGTGGAGGTGCAGAGCACATTTGGGTGGGGGTGAGGGGCTTGTGGCCACAGCTCCTCCTCAGTCACTTGACAAGATCTCCCTCGGGCCTGGCAGGTAACGGCCCCGTGAAGGGTGAGAAAGGAGGTAAAGTGCTCCAGCTGATTGCTGCCGGTGGGAAGGAGGGCCCAGGGTGCCAGAGCCTCCGAATGTTTTACAGAAAGAGGAATCTCTCATTTTAAAAAATGTTATCTGGGCAGAAGAGCTAAACAGACATTTCTCCAAAGAAGACATACAGATAGATGGCCAATAGGCACATGAAAGGACGCTCAACCTCACTAGTCATTAGAGAAACGCAAATCAAAACAACAAGGTACCACCTCACACCAGTCAGAAAGGCCACCATTAAAAAGTCTACGAATAACAAATGCTGGAGAGGATGTGGAGATAAGGGAACCCTCCTGCACTGTTGGTGGGAATGTAAGTTGGTGCAGCCACTATGGTGAACAGTATGGAGGTTCCTCAAAAAACTAAAAATAGAGCTACCATATGATCCAGCAAGCCCACTCCTGGGCACGTGTCCGGACAAAACTATAATTCGAAAAGACACACGCACCCCTATGTTCACAGCGGCGCTATTCGCAATATCCAAGACATGGAAACAACGTAAATAAAGAAGATGCGGTACATGTACACAATGGAATACTCCTCAGCCATAAAAAAGAATGAAATAACGCCATCTGCAGCGACATGGATGGACCTAGAGATGACCATACTAAGAAAGAGAAAGACGAACAGCATACGGTGTCACTTATATGTGGAATCTACAGTACGACACAAATGAACATGTCCACAAAACAGAAACAGACTCACAGACGTAGAGAACAGACTTGTGGTTGCCAAAGGGTAAGTGCAGATGGGGGAGGGATGGATTGGGAGTTTGGGATTAGCAGATGCAAACTAGTATACACAGGATGGATAAACAACAAGGTCCTACTGTATGGCACGGGGAACTATATTCCATATCCTTGATAAACCATAAAGGAAAAAGAATATGAAAAATATATATAGGTATAATCGAATCACTTTGCTGTACAAAAGAAATTCATACAACATTGTAAACCAACTAGACTTCAATATTTTTAAAATGTTATCAACCAAGTAAAAACTTTAACACCCCGGAGATCAAGAGAACTGGTCTGCGGGCTGTATTTGCTCACAAGCTCCTGGTGTCAAATGCAGGTGGCACTTGGCCCGAGTGAGGCAGGGCCTTGTTGGGCACCTGGGGGATGCCTGGTGTGAAGGAGTGACAGCAGGAGCCCCCCCCCCCCGAACTCTCCCTGGCCTCTGGGAGAAGCCCTGAGGCCAGCACGAACCAGTTAAGCTCTGGATGGAACCAAAGGGGAAGCACTGGGGGCCTGCGGGAGGGCGGCGCTGGGCAGCGGCGGTCCCATGGGGCCAGAGCGATGGGGGCTGCAAAGGCTGGGCGGCGGAAGGCCCGAGGCCCACAGAGGAGCCCGTAGCCTCCTTGAGAGCTCCGCCCCACCTTCCACGTTGCTGGGTCCCTGGTGGCCCTCATCAGTGGTAATTACATAATGAATGGTCTAATGAGCCGGTTCACCTGTGCATCCCTCACTGGAAAGCAGCCTGATGAGGGCAGGGGCTTCATCTGTTGGGTCCTAGGCTCGAAGCCTAGAAACTGCCCCAAGTACCTGCCTATTAAATGCTGCTTGGATGGGTGGGTGGATGAACAGATGGGTGCGCGTGCGCTACCTGACCCTCACCACAGCCCTGACGACAGGCCTGGAGGCCAGGACACGCGCAACAGCCAACCAGGAAGGGAAGATGGAGCCTATGTTCTGCCCTCCACAGCCGCCTGGGTCACAGCCCTCTGTGCCCGAGCCCACTCGCTTGTCAAGCCCATCTCCACTTAGCCTACAGTGTGCACAGGGGCCAACCTGGGCGCTCAGGAAACACAGGACAACGCAATGGCTCCAGCCCTCCTGAGGCAGACAGACACAGACGAGGTTCTGGGGGCCGGGAGAGGAGGTGGTCAGGGCAGGCTGGAAGGAGGGGGCCCGCCCCATGGGAGGACCGGCCTGAGTGAGGCGGGGCGGGGGACTGAGCAGGTGCGGTGGCTGCAGTTACCGCCCCTCCCCCACCTCAGGTGGCCTGGCTGCTGCAGCCCATGGTCAAATGCCCACTGTCCTCAAGGTACCAATCCCTGGCAATCCTGCAAAGTCACCCCCATTTGTCAGCTGCCTGCATCACTGCTCCCGGGGAAGGGCCACTCTCCCCCACTCTGGTCTGTGGCCAGAGCTGGAGTGGGGTCTCCGACTTGTTTCTGACAGGGGTGCCTGCATCCCCCCTACCGCCCGGCCAACAGGGCCAGCTGCTAAGAGCAGTGAGCCACCAGAAGCCACTTTCTGCAGAGCGTACTGGAGGTCAAACCTCCCCCCTCGTTTTGCAGAGGGTTCCTGGAAGCCCATAGAGGGGCAGTGACGTGTCCGGAAGGCCCAGCAGGGCTGAGATCTGTGCTCTGTGCCCCAGAATGGCCCCTCTGTCCACCAGAAAATGAACTCTGAGCTGGAGGCCAAAAGTGGGGGCCCAGATCCTCTTCCTGGACACCCAGTTTCCCAGGGGCCAGGGAACGGCCCCCTTCCTCAGCCCGGGCGGGGGCCTCCCCTCCCTTTCCTGCCTCTGACACCCCCTCCCTCTCTGCAGCATGCTGACAGCCCCTCCCATCCCCCCTCCACCTGGGGGAGCTGGGGAATCGGCGCCCCCTCCCACCCCCAGCCCCCAGGGGAGGAAGCGGCCTGTCAGGCCGCCACGGCGTGTCAAATCCTCTTGCTGCCTAATTGTGAGACGGCGGCGTTTAAAGAAACGCTTTTCTGGCCGCCTGCCACACCGCAAACTGCTTGGTATAATTTTATTATTAAGGAGAGAGAAAAAGAGGGAGGGGGTTATAGGAGAGACAGAGAGGAAGGGAGTGAGGAGAGGAAATTGCTTAGTCCGAGTCAGCTGGTGGAGTATTCTCAACGTGGAAGCGGGCCGGCTTTCCAGTTGGCAAGCTGACTCCGTTAATTGCGCATTCAGCCTCTACTTAGGGTAATTGAAACGAAGCGGGGCCCGGGTCTGACAGTTAGGGTCTGCGCCTCGGCCGTTAACCCTTCCGCCCCCGCCCTCGCGGCTCCCACGCACCCCGGGAGCGCGGGCGGCCGGCGTGTGCCCCAGCGCCGGCAGGGTTAACGCGGCTCGAGAGCCGGGCGCCGGCCGAGTGGGGGATGGGAACGAGGATGGGGAGCCGCGCGGGGTGTGCGGGGGCGTCTGCGGCCTCGCCGCCCCCCTGCAACAGATGTTTCAGGCGTGTAAGACAAAGGCAGAGCGCCTGCCGCTGCCGGGAGAAAATCCGCAGGACTCCCTCAGGGGCAGGTAAAATTTCACCTTCTATTTGTGTTCCCCCCGCCCGCCCCCGCCCGGTTTCCCGGCCTCTGCGCCAATCCGGAAAGCGCCACCAAAGACGCCGCGCCGCCGCCTCCGCCGCCCAACCCGCTGACCCCAGCAAGGTCGCGGCGACCTCGGGCTCCGCCAGACGCGCGCGGGCCCCTCCTGGGGCGCCCCCGGCCGCGGTCCCGCGATCGTAGGCGCCGGGAGCAAGGAAGGGGCACTCTTCTCGCCACGAGGCGGAGGCGAGGTGGACGCCGCGCGCCTCCCTCCTGCCCGCGCTGGGACCCCGGGGGCTGCGCCCCTCCAGCCCCCATCATTCATCTCCCTGATTCCCGCTGTAGCCGCCCTCGGAAGTCAGCCGAGTGAAGCAGCTGTTCCTTGCACACTCCACTTGACCAAAGATGATGATAAATGAGGCCCGGGCCGCGTCGGGGACGCGGCGGCCGCCGCGAGGGGCGCGCAGGGCGGGGCGTACGACCCGCACCCCCTCCCCGCGCTCCGGGAAGGGCGAGGACGCGAAGGACAGACGGCGACGTGCAAAATCAAAGGCCCGCACTCCCCTGCCGGCGCCCCGCGCTGCCCCGGCGCCGCCGAAGAGAAGCCGGGCGGAGAGGTGCACCCCGAGCACCGCGGCCCAGACGGAGACCCCCTTCTCACGGTGGCGCCGCCGCCCGGCCACCCCTTCGCACCCCGGCCCCCGGTGCCTCGGTCCCCACCGCGCCCTCGCCCCCACCCCCGCGCCTCAAACCTATTAACGCTCGTAAATAATGAATAATGGAGCGAAGCTTCCCTCGGCCGCGCGAGGCTGCGGGCGGGGCCGCCGCCGCCAGCTGCGCCCGGTCCCGGGGAGGGGGCGCCCCGGCCGGGCGCGGGGGCTCGGGCGCGCGGCCCCGCACACGTGCAGCCGCGGCGCGCAGGCGGGCACCCCGCCCGCCGAGGAGGGGGAATCCCGCTCTGCCCTCCCCAACGCCGCCACCTCCCCTGGAGTCCTCTGGCACCGAACGAGGCGAGAGAGCGCGCGCGAGCTTCCCAGCCGGAGAGGGTTATTTTTAACCTGTTCCCCTTTCCATTCCAGCCTCTCGGGTTTGCGCGCCCGCCTCCCCCCCCCCGCCCCCCCAGCAGCGGAGGACGCGGGCTCCTCACCTCGCTCAGCGGCTGCGGACTCCGAGCGCCTC